ATCCAACAATTTTGCTTAAGTTTACGTTCGCTATGATAGAATAAAATAATCAGACAAGAATTGTTTTAACGAAATTATCAAAATGAGTTTTCATTTAAGAAAATTCGTATTTGTTGTCTATATTATTTGTTTTTTGCTATGGATAGTGGCTGGTCTGAAGGCCTTTCTAGTTTCACTAGGACAAGTAGACAAATACGTTCTCAGACAGGAGGGGTGGAATTTCCTGACAGTTGCCCGAGTATTTCCCGAGGCATCCTAATAGGTCAAGGGCAGATGCTTCGCGAATGCATCTACTGCCGGATCGGAATCCGGTACGATAATGTCACAGCTAATTATCACATTTTGGATTATAATAGTATCTACCTAACTGATTACATAATTCTTCACTTTAATGCTATTGACACTAATTTTTTGGAACGAAATTCTTTATAAACGATGCGGAGGGGTACCCTAACCGGGAAAAACGTCCGTAACGTAAGATTTTATTATTTATGTGTGGTCTTAGTATGATGTCTAATGTATAGTCTACGTGATGACGGTTATTATTATTATTATTCATATAAATAGCTGTTTCTTTGTGTATTATTATTATATATTTTTTATAAATCATTGTGAATAAAATAAAGTTGATAACTTTGTAAAGTAGTTTTTTTTTTTTTTATTTAAAAAAAATCATAATAAAGAATATATACCCGAATAATGATTTTCTTTATATCTCGAATAGAACTTAAAATTAATATTTTTTATAATAAGGAACATCGTTCCTATCCGGTGTCCCACGACACCACACATCTTTATTTTTTTAAAGAAAATAGGCACACGCTCTCAAATAGAATTAGGTAGTGTGCACAAAGCCTGTAGCATTCCTATGACATTTGACATAAAGCCTTGCAGGCACTGTTGAAGGTTTGACCATCTGTTCGTGACCCGCTCGCCGGTCACTCATTGCCCGACATTGCTATGTATTGTTGTACGGCCAACATTAATTACAAACCGAACATTAAAACTTTTGCAAGTCCTTATATTTTAATGAGAGCGAACTATATTGTATAAAGCTTAATTACGTTTTCAAGGGAATGTTCCAATAGTTTAATTTGTGTTATTAGAGCTACATGATTTGACACTAGTCGGTTAAATATGTAATTTAAAATTTTTGATTAAAACTTGCAGTGAATTGTGTTGTAGCTCCATTGAAATAAGGACATGGTTAAACCACTGTCCCGGGTAGGTATTGCTTTGCGCCAATTATGAATATACACATACTTGGAAGAACAGACAAAAACATAGATTTTACAAAATACTCATATATATATTACATAGCTAAACTAATAAAATGATATTAAATTGAAGACCTCCTGATTTCCGAGGAAAACTGAGTTATTTATGAACAAATTCGTGTATTTTTCTTTTTATGATTGTTTTGAGATTATTTATTGAACTCGGTTTTTATGTTTTTTTATTATATTTAATAGCTACCAGTGGCAGATGAAGTCACAGCCCAATTGCGACTCTGAACATTTAGTTAGTAAAAGAGTTAAAGATATAAGAATGTAGACTCAGTTGCATTTCAAGAAATATTTTTATATTCCGTAGCGTTACCCAATTCGAATTTGACGATATTAAATGATGTTAGAATCTAACCGTTTCACATGTAATTATCACTATTGATTAATTTTGTATTTTGACGATGGTGTAATTATGTAGTTTTTATGATGTGAAAAAAACAGATTCTCACGTTTTGTTTATTTTTTTATGAGCATTTAAAAACCAAAAATTAACATGTTTTGTACATGTTCGTAACATGTACAAAATATATAAAAAATATCATAGCGTATTCTCTACTTGTATAAATATTACAAGGCATTTAACTAAATCGAAACCCTAATCTTATATGAGCTTACAAAATCCAAATACTCGCTAGAAGAACACAAATTAATTCCACGTAAAGTGAGGCCATTTTATTAAATAAAACATACCACCAACTTTAATGGAGATGATAATTGGTGCTTATCTAACACCTAAGATATTTTTAGAGTGAATTCAAGCAAATTGACATACTATTTCTGTAATCTGACGAAGCATCTTGCGGATAATAACATGTACTTTTAGGTTAGGAATATTATATTTTTTTTTTTATAATAAAAGTATGATTATTAACTGACATATCTCGATATACTTTTAGTTCTATCTGTGTAAAATGAAACGTAAAAATCTAGAAAGGTCTTTGTTATAGGTAGCAATTCGGCTGCGACCCTAGAAGTACTGACGTCCATTAACAATGGTAACCAGTCTTCTTCGGATGGGCCATACATTCATATGCTTAAATGTTTATATAATAATAATAATAAAAATTTGTGCTCTTCATGTGTACAACGCGTTTTCATTAAAATCGCGTCATAACTATTGTTATATGCTAAACATCCGTAATTTATTCATAATTTACACACTTACCAGAATTAAGTGCTCCAACTTAATTGGATACACGCGCAGTAAACGGAGCAATCTGACGCAGCTTATATGTATATTTAACATACCAATTTCAATTAACGGGATCATTTCGTAATCACCGCTTTAGACTTATTAGATTCAATTACTGCGAACTTGCTATATATTTTTTAACTAATGCATATGTATAAATATACTTAATATGAAATTATACGAACGTCATTAAAACATAAATAAATCATATTGTTCTAGTATTGTGTCTGTGTCCGTTTAGAGATTTTTTAGGCAAGAGGAAAACCCATTGACATAATTAAGAGATTATTTATTGAGAATTCAGTTTTCGTTAATCATTACATTCTGTAAAACTCATGGATACTCATGCTCAGTGTCAGCAATGTATTTGTTTATGGCTAAGCTGAACAGATTAATGTCTGGTTCAATGATTTCCACACAGTGGTTTGCAAAGATTATCTCAACAACCCAAGACTTGCGAGTCGACATATCCAGCCTATTTCGGATCAAAGCAAACATAGGTCTTGGTTTGAAGAATAGAACGACCGGCTACTATTACAATACGAGACTTAGATCAATTAAAGTGGAGGATCTCAGCGCTGACGTTTTTATATCGGTGATTATTCACATCTATTAACTATGAGCTCATTCGTTTTGAACCGAAAAAGAATATGTTTTTTTTTTTAATAACTGTCTATTTTTTTAATGGACAGTATGTTTTACCAGCTAATTATCTACGAAAAACAACGCAGGCAGCCTTGAAGCTGTTAACACCGAGACCTACATTCTAATAACCTTTTGCATAGAAAAATGTAGTTCAGTGTTTGCGACGAGCATTTCGTTTTCAATCGACAGTCGTCACAGGTTTTGCATAATAATAGCACAGCGAAACGGACAGTGTAACAAAGAAACAGTAATGCAAGTTATAAATTTCGCAACTATATTCTTTACACACATTTTATACATACCATTCACAACATACCATTGTTTATATAACGTGATGACTTAAATATAGAACCCAAAAAAAATTACGAGATTTTGATTTTTTCTAAGTTCGCTGTATCTTATTTTATTTTGATAGATTCCAAATGTTATTTTACTAAAACTTATCTGTATGGATCACCTGTCTTAGTTACAAAACGTCAAAAGCGTCCGTCCGCCTTTAGTACCGCCCCTTACCTCTTATGAATAATTCTGAATTGTGACACAAGCCAACTGTAGACCGCCCCTGACATGTGGTCCTCATCTGGTACAAGGTCGACTAGAGATATGTGCATAGTACTAATACCCCTAATTATGTAGTCAGCTCACAAAAGTTTAGTTAAGTTTCTGGAGTTTTGTGCTATATGTATTATCGCTTCTATCTATTTATCAAAAATCAGTANGTACCTCTTATGAATAATTCTGAATTGTGACACAAGCCAACTGTAGACCGCCCCTGACATGTGGTCCTCATCTGGTACAAGGTCGACTAGAGATATGTGCATAGTACTAATACCCCTAATTATGTAGTCAGCTCACAAAAGTTTAGTTAAGTTTCTGGAGTTTTGTGCTATATGTATTATCGCTTCTATCTATTTATCAAAAATCAGTATTTTAACGAAAAATGAGATGCAATATATTGTGTTGATAAAAATGAGAATGGTGGCATCTTATTCGACAGTTTTTTCTGTAGCTAGACAGTTGAAGTTGGGACTGAATTGTATGAATGAATTACTGAATGATTTAACAGATTTTTTTTCTTCAAACGAGAAACAAGACTGCTAAACGGCGAAATTAGACAGGATCTTGTTGACACCTACTGTTTCATACTTATACATACTTAGTAATAATATTAAATTCGTGAGTATTGCATTTTTATTACACGATATGATTTGAATTGAAGATGCGGTGATACCTTCAATGTACAGCTTTATATTTGCCGAATATAGCTGACAAATAACTAGTATTTTCTTCTTTGTCGGAATCTTCACTGAGAAAAGCCACATGAGCTTAATATACATTGTGTGCTTAATATACATTCAATATACATTGTAATGTTATTTTTTTAATATTTGGAGTAGTATTTTTTAAGCCCTTTTTATACTGTTTTCAAAATATTTTTTTAACCTCCAACTCCCTGCTTAATATACCAAAATGTTTAATAATTTTCAGAACGATTTTTATTTAACTAAATTACTAAAACAGCACAATACTAAAAAAACAAAACAAAACATTCTTTTTTAAATCGCCAAAAACAATGTATTTTATGTAATTCCACCGAATTATCTTCCTTTGAGAATTAGAAAGTATTCATACTTGCAGATTTATAATTTTCCTGTATAAAATTAACAAAAAAAGGAAATTGTTCCTATTTACCCTTCGTCAAACCACCCCGAAAACTCGACACGGGCCATAAAATTAATTTCCGCGGGGCGATAAAAGTATATAAATTTATTTCGCCCTTAAGTCAGATTCTTAATTTAGAAAAAACACATTTACTTCCCTGGTATCCGGAAATAGACAAATTTCGATTATTTTTTTTCATGATTATCTCTTTCCAGATCCGTGGGCGCTTCTTGGTGATAAAGCTGTTTTCATAGAGGTGAGTCGAGATGATCTTAACCTGTCTAATTTTTTTGTACTTAAGTATGTAGTATATAATAAGCTTAAGTATTATGCCATATAAATGTGTAATGTAGAATAATATAACTACGTATTCATTTATAAGTAAAGAGGAGAAAAAAAAGTGGAAGACTTAAGAAGAAATGAAGTGGACTTGACAAGAAATGGATGGATTACGTGAAAGACAATATGTGTAAGATAAGAGTGAGCGAAAAAATGGTATATGATAGAGGAGTAGGGAAGAAGAAAACATGTTGCGCCGACCCCAAGTGACTGGAAGAAGGGCAGAAGAATGATCCTGATGACATTTATAAGCAAATTTCATTTTGAAAATTTTCAATTTGCCACAAGTGGTAGGAAAAAAAAAAAGAAAACAAACAAACATATAATTTAGATTTGAACAAAATTAAAATTTTATCGCCAATATGTACAATTTGGAGTATTTTTAATCTACATAACGAATTAACCAAAAAAAATGAAAACTTAATTTCAGATAATTCCTTTTCAGAAGTAATTATTCCTCCATTTACATGAACGTCTATTAATATTCATAAACTTCGACAAAGAACCGAAAATTAAGATCTCTGAAACGTTTAGTAACTCCTACGAAGTCTGGATTAACTTAATATCTGGCGCTATTCTAATACAAATTTAAGTTTTCATTACTTAATCATTCTAGAACAGAAAATGCTATTGTATTTTCTCAAAGTTGGTGCTTGAAAGAAAATTTCAATCAAAAATGGAAAAGCGTAACATTAAACTAATTTAAATATAATATATCTTAGTATAACTACTTGTACGATTTAAAATCGGAGTTTTGTCTTTTATATCCGATGATATCACATTTTACAATTTTGCTGCTACCAGACGACTATTGTCCATATAAACGCGAACTTAAACTACAAAACTAAGGGGGGAATACTGTGCGGTCGGCCCCAAGGAAACCACCCACGTTGCAACGGCGGCCCGGTACCACCGGACGTCCTGAACTTCGTGTGTCCATAAGGGGTCACCGTTTCCTCTACCGATAGAGGCACTGTACGACCTGATTATCCCTCACCTACTGATCTTAGTCACGGTAGGTCTGGGGATCACTCAGGTCGCAACCTTCCCTCTCAGGCCTTGGGTCGACTAAGAGACTTTTACAAGATTTCTGGTCGACCAATCCTCGTTTCCAAGACCCATCTACCCGTGATCAGGTCGACACGGTGGCATCCCGTCTTGTCTACACCATTAGGGGAGGACGCGACGAAGCGAGGACTCTGGTACCGACTGATTTGTTCAGGGTAGGAGCTCTGATACTTCAAAACGATGATTCGTCGGAAGAAGGCGGGAGAATTCTCAATTCGGGACATAAGTTTTCTTTTGTTATTGAACTAAATTTATGCGATCACTAAATATTGTCAGCAATTGGCACGGATCGGTGCCCATATTTGCCCTGAAGTAATAATGCCTTTCCATGTGGACGTTGCGACAGCCATTATTCAACGCAATGTCCCAAAGAAGGTGATGTCTATCGGTTGCGGTGGACAGGGGAGCCATAAGCACATCAATATAAAAATCAGATCATAATATCTTTTATGATATTTTACATAATTGTAATGTACATTTCACGTCACGCACTCGGAGAATGTGTGGCCGTGCCCAATCCGAAACCAATTTACTCTTAGTATTATAGTATAACGCTGGGTAATAAACTTTTCTTCCATTCAATATGACAGATTACCAGTCTTAGAAACACGAAAATAATATACCTTGTGGATAATGGAAAGCCTGTTGTTTAGTATTTAAAATACAAAGTTCGACTTTAAATATCCTCTGTAGCTCACATTCAGTAAAATTTTCAATTTGTTTTATATATATTGCAATTCATTGTTATTATTGTATATTTAAAGGGAAATTATATTATTTCATGATTCTCTCGGTACTGTTATATCAACAGGAAGTTGCAAAATAAGTTTACGAAGTCCGGCTCAACAGTAGCAAACGAATCACATATTCAAAAGGTCGCAAGTTAGAAACTTGAAACACACAACATTTTATGTTATTTTCTGAATGTATATACATACATAGCATGTATTTGAGTTGTAACTAATAACAGTGTGTTTGTTTATTAAGTTTGACGATTCTATTTTTGATGCATATGACATTTTCAATACGGCAGTCAAAATTGTTTAGAGCATTGAAAGCAGTGTCCAAAATATACAATTTTATAGAAACTCAACAGCGGAATAAAAATTTCCATACATTAAGTAATAATTATACGCAACAAAAGCACTTGAAATATAACTTTAAAGTGCATTGAAAATCTCAACAATTCAATGAGCACTGACTTGAGTGCATATTTGAAAAGGTTTATTTACAGTTAGGCTACGTCAAACAACTGCTAGATGTCTAGGTCCGAAGTTCTTTTATAATTTAAAACAAGAATATTTTTCCAATGGCGTTATTATTGTGGTTAGTCTTTATTTTTCAATTAATCAATATAAGGAATTATTATAAGGAATTAGGATTTTTCGCTATTATTTCACATAAAATTCAAAATCTTCGTGGTCAATAACCAAAAAAAAAGTAAATAATTTTTGTTTTTAATTTTTTTTTTCTACCTAAGCTGGTAGCCTTGAGAGGCTATTCCAGCGTAACTCTAACTAGTAGGTGAGCTCACGGGGCTCAAACCTGATGACGTTGCTAACACGAACCCTAGCAAGAGCCGTGCTTCGCAGAATCTACCACCGGATCGGAAATGCGACCCACTGAGAAGATCCGGCGAGAAACTCAGAGGGCTGTGTCTAATTTACTCGTCGAGCCCTTCGTCGCAAGCGACGGGTTCGACGAGAACGGTGACCGGTGCTTGAAGTACTTAAAAGCACCGTTAGTGGATCGGGAGGATCCGAGATGACTGTTTTTAATTTTTTTATGTTAAAGACCTTCAAAAACTAGTGCATGCAAATTTAGAGGTGATTTTATTTATTACACTAAATCGCTTTCTCTTTAATGTAGCATTAAATGATTTTACCAAGATCTCATCATCAATCATTTAATTTGTTTTACACCAGTCAAAAACTAGAATTTTGCTTTACGAAAACTTTATTCGAAACAAAATATGTAATAAACAAATAACAACAAAATACGTTCATAACTTACAACATCATCTTGTTACAAATCAAATTCCTTGTGCTCCATAAATTCATACAAATGCCTAATATTCGAAGCTTCCACCGGATATCCGGCACTGTCCAACAAAATAGATTAACATTTCAGCTTAATATTTCGTGTTCGATAAAATAATCCCGGTAATGTAATTAAGCCGGCCAAGTTAAAAGGTTCTCAGTTCGCTGTCAATATCATCGCGGGCGAGGGGAGGTCTAAATGGATTAGGGTAAACAGCATAAAGAGCCTTTTGTATCCGAAATTAAATGTCACGAGACGTCATTATTCAGAGTCGGCTTGACGCGCACGACACAGGGCGACGCCATCGTGCTGCCAACAATAACGTCTGCTGTTTACTATTTACGACATCTACACAAAGAACTAGATAGGACAAACTATACGATTATTGGCGCCGCACCCCTCCTCTGTAGGCGAAAGTGGGCATGTTTTCTATCCCCCTCACAAAATATTCCCTAGATTTTGTCTAACTATACATCTCAACCGTAATCTCCTACCAAAAGATATGATCGCAAGAGACCCAGTTTCATCTTTAGGAAAGATTTAATATAGTGATTCACTTAAAGTAAATTACGAATAACATCATCAGACATCATTACTGAACAAAACTAAATGTAGCGTTGAAATTATAACAAGCTATAATGATTTATAATCGTGTGCCGTCTTATTAGACAACCCATTAATTATATTCATAAAGGAGATGACACCGGACTAGACTTTGCCCTGCGGCTCTATTTAAAGCGAACAAACTTGATTTATTGGCATTATCTGAAGAAGTTTGGACCGCATTTCGCACTAGAATCTTAAAACCGACATTATGTATGTTACTAACAATAGCATAATATATTTATAGTAAGCTCGTTTCAAACTTAGTTACGCCTCAAAGGTACTTTTGTACTGGGAACAACTTTTTTTTCGCTAGGCCAATCCATTGAGGATACAACATCCAATTTTGATGGTAATTAAGGGAAGAGAAGATGTATTTGTAGAATGTGTGTAGTGTTGTGAATTCCTGTCCATTAAAAGTTCATTTTGCACTGATTTTCCGATTTCAGAAGCTGTATTACCGACATCCTAAAGTGTTCACTTTCTTTTGTTGAACAAAATCTATTTGTCTGGAACTATATATACCCTGACGCATTTTAATTTCATTTTGTAGTCGAAAAAGCGATACAAAATACGTGTATCCCTTTCGAAGCCTGACTCCGACGGCTCCGGACTAATAAAAACAGTGTTCATAATTAAGCTATACGATTTTAAATAAATTCCTGGTTTTCTCTAATATCAATTAATAATAATTATTATATATTCCTTGTGATCAAATCCATGATAATCTCGAGGTTATTCAGTTAATGATATTAAATATATCACCTCCATTTTTTTCCTCCCAGAGTAATTCACAGACGTAATGCAATGAATGATTGCCGCTTGCGACACGAAATTATCCTGACATTCCACTTACTTCAATTTACCTAGCAGCTTCAATAGTAACAGGTAATAAATACGATTACTTATACCCGTGATCAAAATTTGATTGTATTCTATTGTTAAATTGTATAATACATTTTTAATAAAATCATGTTCGGCAATCAAGACATAATATATGTATTTTATAGTAAACGAAATGACATTCGTTCGATAAATACTAGAAATAAAAGCAAACTCATTATAACCCCTTGGCCAGGGCATAATTTATTACAATAAAATCCCCGGGGATATTTTGTATTTAAACTTTTAAGTATAAACTTAAAATGAAAAGTACCTTAATTGCGCTAGTTTATTATAAAGTCAGTGACAAAGCTAATAATGAAA